TCCAGTTTCATCTTTTAGAGCAGGCTGAGACACAAGAAACACACATTCATTTTTTTCTCCCTGGTGATCAATGAGCTGATTGGATTTTGATGCTTTCCATTCTGTTCTGTTTTTAAGTAAGTCGTTTGCTAGTTTCTGTTGCCAAAACCTTTTGATGAAATCATCTATCACTGACTTCAAATATCAGTGCTATTGTGCCTTGGGGGAAGAGGCCGCATCTCTCCCATGACTGTAACTAGAATAAAAGATAGAACCCGCCTCTGTTCTTATTCATGGAAGGAGGGACCTGCAGAGAGCCAATCTTAGCAAAGAGGAAAGCACAAGAAAGCAGCTTTTCTGTTGCATTCTTTTTTCCTCCCGAATTTTACTATCATGTCCAAGGATCTCCCCGTTTCTCACATCTACCTCCTTGGGAAAGGATATTGGCGGCAGTGATGGCAAAGGTTTGAGCACAGCTCATGAATCGCTGCCTCTGCAGAGTTGCCTGCAGTAGAGACACCAACAGGAAACACCCAATCTAGATGGTACCTAAAGGTATTTTTGCAGGACACAGTGGCTCATGTCTGTAATCCCAGCACTTTGGGAGGCTAAGGCAAGGGGATTGCTTGAGGCCAGGAGTTCAAGAGCAATCTGGGCAACATAGCGAGACCCAGTCTCTACAAAAATAAAAAAAAATTAGCTGGGCATGTGACGTGTGCCTGTAGTCCCAGCTATTCCGGAGGCTGAGGTGGGAGGGTGGCTTGAGCCAGGGGATTGAGGCTACAGTGAACCATGATGGTACTACTGCACTGCAGCCTGGGCAACAGAGCAAGAACCTGTCTCCAAAAATAATAAAATTATAAAGAAATAAAAATTTAAAGATATTTTTATTTTACAGAGACTTCAGAATTTTAACACTTTGAAAAAAGGATTGGCCGGGCATAGTGGCTCACGCCTGTAATCCAAGCACTTTGGAGGCCAAGGTGGGCGGATCACCTGAGGTTAGGAGTTCAAGACTAGCCTGACCAACAGGGTGAAACCCTGTCTTAATAAAAAAACAAACAAAAAAGAAAAAGAAAAAAGGATCAAGGTGAAATGTTTACTGAATAATGAATGAATTGTATAATGTGTAAAACTTTTAAGATAATTTTTTTAATGTTTGAAAAATGTCAGGTGGTCTGGGCAGGATGGCTCATGCCTGTAATCCTAGCACTTTGGGAGGTCGAGGCGGGCGGATCATGAGGTCAGGAGTTCGAGACCAGCCTAACCAACATGGTGAAACCCTGTCTTTACTAAAAATACAAAAAAAATTAGCCAGACGTGGTGGCACATGCCTATAATCCCAGTTACTCAGAAGGCTGAGGCAGGAGAATCGCTTGAACCTGGGAGGCAGAGGTTGCAGTGAGCCAAGATCACGCCACTGCCCTCCAGCCTGGGCAACAAAGTGAGACTCCATCTCAAAAAAAAAAAAAAAACTCAGAGAGTGCAGTTTGCTCAGGGACAAACCAATGTTTCCTAGCCTAGAATATTTAAGACCAGGAGAACTCCACTAAGAAACAGTACTGGCTGGGTGCGGTGGCTCATGCCTGTAATCCCAGCACTTTGGGAGGCCGAGGCAGGTGGATTACCTGAGGTCAGGAGTTCAAGACCAGCCTGGCCAACATGGTGAAACCCTGTCTCTATTGAAAAAAAAAAAAAAAAGAAAGAAAGAAAGAAAAGAAAACAGTGCTGGGAGATTATTTTTACAGATGGTAACCTTTTGGAATTTTTCATTAAAGAATTCATTTGATAATATGTTGCTAAGTTATAGTACATATATTACTTTAAAAGTAAATGCATTACTAAATATTCAATATTATTAAACTAAGTATATGTAGGAGGTATGATACCACTTTTAAAAATGCTACCAATACTCTCTAGGTCTGAGCCCAAGCTTCTTTAAAGAGAGATGGCCATAAATTCCTCTTCAGTAATTTTAGGACCTCTCCCCTCCCCAGATGTCATCACAATGGGAAACTCACCCAAAGTGAATTTTATTTATACATACATAAAAATATATTTATATATAAAAATATATATATAGGTGACAGAGTAAGACTCTGTTTCAAAATACATATATAATATGTAAAAAAATATGGGTGTGTGTGTATATATATATAATACACACATTTTTTTTAAAACAGAGTCTTGCTCTGTCATCCAAGCTGGAATGCAGTGGTCTTGGCTCACTACAACCTCTGCCTCCCAGGTTCAAGCAATTCTTCTGCCTCAGCCTCCTGAGTAGCTGGGATTACAGGAACCTGCCACCAACCCTGGCTAATTTTTGTATTTTTAGTAGAGACAGGGTTTCCCCTTGTTGGCCAGATGGGTCTCGAACTCCTGACCTCAGGTGATCCACCTGCCCGGGCCTCCCAAAAGTTCTGGGATTACAGGTGTGAGCCACCGCGCCTGGCCAGTTTATATATTTTTAATAACAGAAAAGAAGAGCCAGCTCAACATGATCCTTCGAGCATCCCTCTTTTAAAATATCTTTGCCTAAATATCAGTAGGGGTGTCCTAAGGCAGGGAGGGGGTGAGGAGTAGGAGTGATGGGAGAGGATGGACTTTACCCAGAGCCCTCTGTTTTTAAAGGAAAGTGCCTGACTTCTGAAATTAGTTGAAATTTTAAAATCTCCATGGCAAGAAGGCATCAAAGGGTCTTGCTATCTGAAGAGGGTATGTGTGTATTAGGGGAAGGACAGTATGCTGGGAGAGAAAAAAACCACCTTGTGGCCAGGAACAGTGGCTCACGCCTGTAATCCCAGCACTTTGGGAAGCCAAGGTGGGCAGATCACCTGATAGGTAGGCGTTCTAGACCAGCTTGGCCAACGTGGTGAAATCTCGTCCTTACTAAAAATACAAAAATTAGCCGGATGTGGTGGCACATCCCAGTTACTTGGGAGGCTGAGGCATGAGAATCACTTGAACTTGGGTGGTAGAGATTGCAGTGAGCCGAGATTGCAGTGAGCCAAGATAGCACCACGACATTCTAGCCCGGGCAACAGAGCGAGACTTTATCAAGAAAAAGAGGCCAGTCAGGCGTGGTGGCTCACACCTGTAATCCCAGCACTCTGGGAGGCCAAGGCAGGTGGATCACCTGAGGTCAGGAGTTTGAGAGCAGCCTGGATAACATAGCGTAACCCAGTCTCTACTAAAAAATAGAGAAATTACCTGGGCGTGGTGGCCCATGCTTGTAGTCCCAGCTACTTGGGAGTCTGAGGCAAGAGAATTGCTTGAACCTGGGAGGCACAGGTTGCAGTGAGCTGAGATTGCGCCATTGCACTCCAGCCTGGGTGACAGAATGAGACTCCGTCTCAAAAAAAAAAATTCACCTTGCAATAAATTATCCTGCTGCAGATGTTTATGTTTAATTCATTTTGTATCCCATCCCTTTCCCCTCAACCCCAAAGAAATCAAGAGGGATCCAGTTTATATTTGTGCTGTTGGCTGCTTGAATCCCAAAATCTTGGGTACAAACTGATCAGGGTTCCTGGATCTGCCTGGTGATGGGCAACCCAAGGTGTCCATGGAGCCCAAGGAAAGTCTAGGCCCTCATTGTGCACCAGCTGTATCCACAGAGAGCTTGTTAGACATGTAGAGTCTCAAGGCCCACTAAAGCTTAAGCTGTATTTCTTTCTTTTCTTTTTTTCCTGTTGCCAAGGTTGGAGTGCAGTGGTATGATCATAGCTTACAGCAGCCTGGACCTCTTGGGTTCAAGCGATCCTCCTGCCTCAGCCACCTGCATAGGTGGGACTACAGGCACATACCACCATGCCTGGCTAATTAAAAAACAATATTTTTATGTAGAAACTGGAGTCTTGTGCCCATGTTGCCCAGGTTGGTCTCGAACTCCTAGCCTCAAGTGATCCTCCTGCCTTGGCTTCCTAAAATGTTGGGATTACAGACATGAGCCTTAAGATGCATTTTTTTTTTTTTTTGAGACCGAGTCTTGCTCTGTCACCCAGTCTGGAGTGCAATAGCATGGTCTCAGCTCACTACAACCTTCGCCTCCCAGGTTCGAACAATTCTCCTGCCTCAGCCTCCCAGGTAGCTGGGATTACAGATGAGTGCCACCACACCTGGCTAATTTTTGTATTTTTAGTAGATACAGGGTTTCACCATGTTGATCAGGCTGGTCTCGAACTCCTGACCTCATGATCCACCTGCCTTGGTTTCCCAATGTGCTGGTATTATAGGCGTGAGCCAACACGCCTGGCCAAGATGCATTATAATATCCCAGCTGATTTGTGTGCACAGTGCGGTTTGAAAAGCACTGCTCTTGGAAAGAAGGGGCTGGGTGGGAGTTGCTATTATTGGAAGAGTCGCAAGAGATTTTGGCTGTGAGAAAGTCCCCCGTTGGGTTCACAGCGTTCAGGGCCCTGGTGTGAAGATGTGCTTCTCACTCTAGCGCTGAGTTGCTGAGTCTCCATGACGGGGCAGGCTCACCTGCTGAGCAACAGCACTGCTCACCGGGATGGAACTCCCAGCTCTGCTTATTACTTAGACCTTTGTTCTAGTTTCATGGTTTCTGCCTTGGATTGTGTCATCCTGGACTTGCAAGGCTTAAGTGTGGCGTAAGTCACCATCACCAGAGCTGATGAATTTCCCATTCTGGTGACGCCTTAATTGAAGATGAGGCTCTCCTTTCATTAGCAAGATTCCTAGCTCCTGTCTAAACTGTCACCTCAAAGACCTGGGGGAAGAGAGAGGCTGACCTCATGGTGTGGCCTCAGTTACTGTGGGTTTGATGGCTTCTCTAAATGTATCAATGTCTCAGGCCAGCCTGTGGCAAAATTACTCAAGGCCTTGGGAATGTTGGCATCGAGGATTTTGTTTCTCAAACCAATGAATAAATATTTTTCTGGCTCTTACTCCTTGCAACTGCTTTACTATAGAAAAAAGCATTTTATTTCAGCCGATTCTCACTACTATCCTTTGGGGGAAGGGGGTGGCTATTATTCCCAGTTACAGAAAGGAAAACAGTGTTTCCTTCTTCGGCAGCACATATACTAAAATTGGAAAGAGACAGAGATTAGCATGGCCCCTGCGGAAGGTGACAGGCAGTCATGAAGCGTTCTGTATTTTTGTTGGTGCGGTGGCTCGTGCCTGTAATCCCAGCACTTTGGGAGGCTGAGGTGGGTGGACCACAAGGTTAGGAGTTTGAGACCAGCCTGGCCAAAATAGTGAAACCCTGTCTCCACTAAAAATACAAAAGATTAGCCAGACGTAGTGGCGAGCATCTGTAATCCCAGCTACTCAGGAGGCTGAGGCAGGAGAATCACTTGAACCCGGGAGGAAGAGGTTGCAGTGAGCTGAGATTGCACCATTGCACTCCAGCCTGAGTGACCGTGTGAGACTCCATCTCCAGAAAGAAAGGAAGAAAGAGAGAGAAAGAAAGGAGGGAGGGAGGGAAGGAAGGAAGGAAAGGAAGGAAGGAAGGAAGGAAGGAAGGAAGGAAGGAAGGAAGGAAGGAAGGAAGGAAGGAAGGAAGGAAGGAAAACAGAGAGGTAAAGTCACTTTTTCAAGGTCACAGAGCAAATTAAATGGCTGAGTGGGGACCCAAACCCAGATCTGCCTGTCACCAAAGCCAGTGCCCTCTCTCCTCCCTGGCTATACCTAGACTTCTGAGGACAGAATTCCCCTGGTGGAGCTGTCAATTGTTTTCTTTCAGGTGAAGAAGAAAAGCCGGAATGTCCTTTTGGGTGATCGTGGCCATCTTCTCTTGCCTCTCTCAGCTCAGAGGCAAGCATGTTTCCTGGCTTGCCTTGTTCCTCTTTTATGAATGACTTGGCCCCAGACATGTGGCTTCTCTGCTCCAATGGCTTCTTGGAAGGCCAAAAATTGAGCCTGGGCCACTTGCCCACAGGAATTGTGGCCAGCTGGGCAAATGCCCGTGGCCGAGTGGCCATCTGGCCATGACCCTTCCAAGGACAGACATCAACTCTGCAGCTCCGTAAGATTACCCTGAGTAATTGCTTTAATACTGGGGGAGAGGCTGGAGGGTTCTCTGATGGAAATGACCCTGGGAGGGAAACATCCGAGTTCAGGGTCTGCCTGTTCTGGGCTGCACGGTGACTTTCCTGAGACCTAGGCACTTCTGCCTTGATGAGTTTGTTTTGCCACTAAAATGAACATTTAAAAAACAGATATTTTGCCAGGCATGGTGGCTTACACCTATAATCCCAGCACTTTGGGAGGCTGAGGGAGAAGTCCCACTTGAGTCCAGGAGTTCAAGACCAGCCTGGGCAACATAGTGAGACCTCATCTCTACTAAAAGTTTTTAAAAATTAGCTAGATATGGTGGCATACACCTGTGGTCCCAGCTACTCAGGGGCCTGAGGTGGGAGGATTGCTTTAGCCCAGGGGGTCAAGGCTGCAGTGAGCCCTGATTGCACCACTGCACTCCAGCCTGGGCAACAGAGTGAGACCCTGTCTCAAAAAAAAAAAATCAAAGATTATTCTTCTTTGTTTTGTTTTATGATAGAGTTTCACTCTTGTTGCCCAGGCTGGAGTGCCATGGTGCAATCTCAGCTCACTGCAACCTCTGCCTCCTGGGTTCAAGCGATTCTCCTGCCTCAGTCTCCTGAGTAGCTGAGATTACAGGCATGCACCACCATGCACAGCTAATTTTGTATTTTTAGTTAAGACAGGGTTTCACCATGTTGGTCAGGCTAGTCTCAAACTCCTGACTGCAAGTGATCTGCCCACCTCGGCCTCCCAAAGTGCTGGGATTACAGGCATGAGCCACTGAGCCCGGCAGAGGTTATTCTTAATTTAAAAAAATAAAATAAAAATAGCTTTTCCTGCTACAGTGGTATAAAGGTAAAAATGTTGATTTTATATATAAAATCATTTTCTTCACCCTAAAAGTTCATTTTTCCCCCTTCGTTTTTGTGAGTCCCTAAAAGTATTATGGGCTCTAATCACTGTGCCTATTAGACCTATTAGAGATGCTGGCCTTGTGCTTGGCTCTGTGGCGACCTTGAGTAAGTTGACTGACTTTTTGGGCCTCAGTTTTCTCATCTGTAAAATGGGTATAGCAACAGCGTCTGTTTTAATCCACAGCAAGTGACTAGCAGAGAGGCAGCTCTGTGACTCCTAGTGTCTAGTTAGGGCTCAATCAGTAATGCTATCGGTACTGCCCTCTGCTAGGGGGTGAGAGGCTTGCGCGTGGAGGGGGCTGGGTTTGTAGTGGAGAGGGGCTGAGGGCCTCCCGTGGGGAGTGGGCTGTTCTTCAGGCACTTAACTAAAAGGCCACTAGAGGCAAAGGTGTCTGCTGTCAGCCCTGCTTCCTTCTCCAGCATCATAAAGCATTAGGGCCAGAAAGGTTGTCAGGGCCTGTCCTCTGCCCAGGCCCAAGAGAGATGGGATCCATCAGGGCAGAGCTGGGACAAGAACCCACGCTAGGACCCTGGCCCAGCGCAGCAGGGCCCCACCCAGGCTGTCTTCTGAGGTGCCACCCTCAGGTAGATGATGACAAGCAGAGCTCCTTGGCAAGATGTAAACAAGACTTTGCCACAGCCTCTCTCTCCCCCTCCCGACACCCATGTTGGCTCCTTGGCCTTTCTGCCACTCAGGCCATTTCCTCATGGGCACGTCTGCACACGGGCCTCCACGTGCAGTGCCCAGAGAGGGCCTGGGCTTCAGTGGCAGCACAGCCCCAGGGTGAGTCCCAGTCTACCATTGCCTTACTGGGCAGGTGGCCTCACGTTGGCATCCTCACCTGAGAAAGAGACCTAAGCATGCTTCCTACCTCACAGGACTGTTGTAAAGGTGACATTAGATGATGTTGCACAGTGACAGGCATGGGCAGGGGCTCCCTCATGAGGAAGAAGGCGAGGAGGAGGAGGAGGAGGAGCACAGACTGGCTTCTTCCATTCTGTCTTCTGGGGGCAGCTCAGGGAAGTGCCCCCAAGAGGGCCAGGGGGCAGGCAGGCTGCCTGTGTTATAAATCCCAGCCTGCTCCTTACCGGTGGCATGACTTTAGGCAAGCGCTTCACCTTTCCATGCCTCAGTTTCCTCACCTGAAAAGAGGGTGCAACAATAGAAGTCCCCTTAAATAGTTGTTGGGAGAAATAAGTAACTGACACACCTTAGAGGCTTCAACTGACACCTGGTGTGTGGTTAGTGCTCAGTACGAGGTGAGGCATTTTTCTCTTCTTGGGACAAGCCACAGCTAACAAATTGGCTTTCATCTTCAGGATAGAAACTTCTAGAACATGGGGTTCCAGAAATGGTAGTTCTCAGTTCCTTCCTCTCCAAAGTACGAGATACACGTGCTGTGCCCACTAGAAGGTGTGTGGCACACAGCCCAGGGAAGTTTCTGACCATCCATGGCCACGTGGTTGCTCAAGCCCAACGGGGTGACTTCTGAACCCCTGCAAACGGCCATGGGACAGGGAGGCTGTGGTCCTGAAAATGGCCATGACGTGTGGCATGGGCAGCGTGAGGCTCGGGAGAGTGGAAGCTCCAGGAACTCTGACGGAAAGGGTGTTGGGCACCTCCTCCGTGTCAGGCATGGGCCGGCTCTCTGGCTCCACTCTGGATTTGTAGAAACTGCCCTGGTGATGCTTGTTCTGGTGACTGGCCCAGTGGAAGGTCAGCTAGGGCCCTCGGCTGTCTGGCCTCAGCGCTTGCCGTGTCTTCACAGCAGGCAGCGCCCAGCTGGACGTAGAGCCAGCCGGGCCCCAAGATGTGGCCTGTGGCCATGGCCCAGGGAAGCGACTGGCTGCCAAGCCACTGAAGTGAGACCCTGAGCTCACTGATGCCAGGCTCCCACCTGCCACAGGCTGTTCGCAGGTCTGCTTCCTTTTAGCTTTTCTCTTGTGGGATCGCTTTGGTCTGATGTGGACACTGAATGAGAGATGATGGGGTCCGTGCTTTCTGCACGCTACTTTCCTGAAGTGACTCTTGTCACCTGAGTCCTTATTGGCAGCTGGCATAAAATATTAAAGCCTAGCTGAGCGTGTGAGCTGCAGAGCCTTGCTAGCAGGGTCTGGTTTCATAGTCCCGAGGCGGCAGCAGCAGGGAGGGTTTGCCGCAGGCCCCAGCGTCCGGGCGCATTGCCGTGGGGAGCCGCCCCAGACGCACTTCTGCTCAGCAGTCACATTCTGGGAGCCCGCGATCCAGAGCATGACCACGGTAAGAGGTATGTACCCTGGCGGCGGAATGTGATTAGGAATGTGACTTTCGGAGTCAGAACTGAACTCCACTGCATGTCACCATCAGCGGAACAAATTGGCAGCTTCCTCTGTGATGACCAAATCAAAACACTCACACACTTGGACACACACCCACGGGAAAGTCATGGTTTAATACATTTTCCTGCACCTGTTCTCTTCCCCTCTAACAAGACTTGCTAACGTGGCTTCTGTGAGCCTCTCTCTGGAAACTGGATGCAAAATCATCACATCGTTTTTTGTTTTGTTTTGTTTGGCTTTTTTTTTCTGGAGAGAAAACTGGTATTTTGCATGAAATTTTCAAAAGAGTGGTGGTTCCTACCCCAATATTTTTCAATGTTTAAACTTAAATATAAACATTTAGAAACACTAGTGGTTCCACTTTTAGGAACAGTCACTACCACCTGTAAGTGAGATCAAAGATCTAGGTATGAGGACGCTCCTGGAAGCGTGGTGGTTGCAAAAGACTAGAAACAACTCGATTACTTGTTAACAGGGAACTGGTTCAATCAACTGGGTCCACTCTGAAAAAGCATAACCATAGAAGGACAAGTCTGTGTGTGTGATAGGGAGAGCTTTCCCACAGGGTGAAGTGTGGCAAGCAGAGCACAGGAGAGCACATGGACTGTGCTCTGGGTCTTCATGACCGGGGGAGCAGGCATTTTGGGGTGTGGGTTTGTATGTGGGGGCTATTCCAGGCAAAGACCCTCCAGCCGCTGGTGGCAATGATTACCTCTGTTCAGAGCAGGGCAGAGGACAGAGGTAAAGAGTAAGAAGGAGACGTACTTTTCACTGTTTGTACTATTTGAACGTATGGCTTAAAAACAGTTAAACAAGAAAACAGCCGGGTACAGTGGCTCACACCTGTAATCCCAGCACTTTGGGAGACCAAGGTGGGTGGACTGAT